GGGCTGTGGGCACGGGCGGGGGATGCTGCCCGGGGGGGGCGCGGCGGCGGCACTCGGGATCCCCGTGGATGGGCGGCGGTGTGGCCGGCTGTGCTGGGGGCTGCGGGGGTGCCGGGGTGCGCGCGTGTGTGTGAAGGGGAGCGGGGGTGCTGCGCACCGGTGCGGGGGTGTGGGGGTCCCGTGGCGGCGCGGGTACCGCGGGTTCAGGGGGTCCGTGCGGGGGGCGGGGTCCCCCCCAGGCCGGTCGGCCGGGGCAGGACCGGCAGCGCGGCGCCATCTTGGGAGCCATCAGGTGCCCGGCGCGGGGACGGGCGGTGCGGGGGGGCCGCCCCCGACACCCCCTCCCATCGCCGGCCGCCGCCGCGGGGCGAGGGCTGCGGACCGGCCCCGGCTCCCCCCGGGGCCGCCGGGGTGCGTGGTTGTCCCGGGGGGCGCCGGTGCTGCCTCCGGCGCCCGCCCCTCCCGCCGCTCCCCCCGCGGGACCGAGTCCCGAGAGCACTGGCCGCTGCCCCGGGAGAGTCCCCCGGCCTGGAGTCACCGCCCGTGGGTGGTGGATAACCCGGTAGCGGGGCCCCGAGGCTCTGAGTCAGGCTCTGCCGGCGGCTGCCGGGCTCTGGGTGTCCCGGCATGTCGTCACGGTGTCGTCGTGTGTGTCCATCCCGCCGACTCCCCCCCCTCTCGCGATCTGGGTTTAAGGGGAAGGGCTGCATCTGCCTCGGCAGATGATGTGAGGATTGGTTAAAAGAAAGATGGATGTTTGAGTAACCTCGATATTCTGTGCTTGTAAAATTGCTGGGCAGTCCATGGCTGCTGCCGGCACCAGCTGTGGTATCGGCTCAGGTTGAGATATCCTGGGAGTTTAATCCACTCGTGGTGTTTGTTGCAGCCGCTTCAGAAACGACGGAGAACTGTGGAGGATTTCAACCAGTTCTGCACCTTCGTTCTGGCTTATGCAGGCTACATCCCCTACCCTGAAGAGGTAAGTGGGCTTGCAGGGTGTTCCTCTACAAAGATACTGGTTCCCCTGGATTCTTTGCCATGTGGAGACCCAGCTCTTAATCATAAAGAATTATAGAATGGTTTGGGTTTGAAGGGACCGTAGAGATCATCTAGTTCCAACCCCTCACCATGGGCAGGGGTCCCACTTACTAAATCATGTTGCCTAGGTGCCCATCCAACCTGGCCTTGAAGTTTGGATAGACACGTCTGGACAGTCATCCTCCAGCCCCAGCCTCCCTCTCTTTACCCTGAATGAATGTGCTGCAGTCTCCCATGCTAATCCTGCATCTTCTCCTCTTGTAGTATGTGCCCTGGACCCATGGAGGCAGTATGAGTCCCCAGAACAGCACAGGGAGCACTCAGGACAGTGATAGCTCGACCTCATCTCACTCTTCTGACTGCCACATCCCAATGGACAGTAGGAAGAGCAGGAATGCTGTGGCCAGGGGAGTTGTGGACAATGGCCTGCTTATGAGCAGCCCTGTCTTTTCCACTGGCTTTTACAATGTCCGGCCCCAGCAAATCAAACGGAAGAAACCACCAGCAAAGAAACGCATTCTGGAGCAGGAGGTGAAGAAGAGGGTGCCACTGAGTGCTTGGAAGGACTTTGGGGCAGAGCAGGATGGGGTGAAACAGCTGGCTGCACTGGCAGGACAGCTGTCTCCTGTGAAAGAGGAGCTATTGGAGCCTTCCCCCAACTTGTCTGGGGACCCTCAGCCCAACTCCCTCCTGGAGGAGCCGATGAAGGAGGAGAAAGACTGGATGTATGGAGCGCAGGGGACCGAGAAGCCAGCAGGAGAGGATCCTCAGCTAAAGGAGCATGACCCCTTCTCTGGAGGGAGGAAAAGCCCCAGTTCCTGTAATACCTTGGACCAAAGCAAAGGGGAAGACACAAGCAGAGGGACCTCCCAGCTCAGCGGTGAGTGTCAAAGGGAGTGCAGAGGGCCCCGTTGTGCTGTAGACAGTGCCAAGCATTGTCCCTCCCTCAGCTGGAGCCACTCATGCTGGCCACAGGGAGGGCTTGTTGATGGCCCAAGCCTCTCCCAGCAAGGGGAGTACCTTTGGGACCTGAGGGGGACTGAAGAGCAGAGGGCAGGGAGCTGACCTGTCCTTTGGCAGCTCTATTGTGTAGAGTAGGTGGTGCAGACCTGAAGTGGGTCTGAAATGGGGTGTAGGGTTGCCTTGCTCATCTGGTCTTCCTTTTTTTTTCTCTTTTTTCCCCCCTTTTGCAACTTTAGCAGTCGAATTTGCGGAAGTTCCCAACACCAAAGCAGAAGGTGAGTGGTGGGCTGTCCCATTTAACACCTAGAGGAACTGGCTAGTCTGGCCACAGCCAGACCTGCAGGTGGTAGTGTGGTTTCTGACCAGTGTATCTCTCTCCCTGACCAGACGACGATGCCTGGGATCTGATCACTTGCTTCTGCATGAAGCCCTTTGCAGGGAGGCCCATGATCGAATGTAATGAATGCGCTACCTGGATCCATCTCTCTTGTGCCAAGATCCGCAAATCCAATGTGCCTGACATTTTCATCTGCCAGCGATGCCGGGATGCCAAGCAGGAGATTCGCCGCTCGAACCGAGCTCGGACAGTGCCCCGCAAGCGCCTCGTTGACTGAAGTTCCTGCAGAGCAGGACGGCTGGGGGCCTCTTTTTAACCTGAAGACAATCAATGCACTGGCAGGGGAGGGGCTGGGACACAGGGCCAGACTGTCCCCCTCACACTTCTGACTCCTGAAAGCTGCCACACGTGTCCTCCCTGAGGATCACATTGGCCACGGAGCTCAGTTATCCCAGAGGTGTGTGGAGGAGAGGAGGGTGGTCCAGCCACGATCCCTGTGGGTGGTGTGTTAGTGTTTGTGATCTCCTGGGGTCCCACGTGCACTAGCTGTTGGATCCCACCTCCTCCTCACAGCCCCTCCAAAGAGCCCTGCCCATGTGCCTTCTGCACTTTCCCTGGGGGATGCAGACCCCACTCCTGTCCTGGTGACACTGAGCTCAGCCCCTACCTGCCAGTCCCCATGACTATAATTCTTAACTGGGTTCTTTCCTACTTGCACATCTGGTTACTGTGGGACCACAGCTGGGAGGAGGGTGTGGGACAGCCCCCTGTCACACAGCAGCCCCCAGCCTCGTCCCTGTGCCTCTCTCCTCCTGTGGAAAGCCTGGGCCCCAAAAGTGCTTTATGTTTTTATAGTTACTTTGTATTATAGTTAATTTGTATTATAGTTACTTTGTATTATAGTTACTTTGTATTATAGCAAATTCTGGTCCTTGCCCTGTGGAGTGTGGCTGGAGTCTTATGTATATAATAAATACTTTTGCCATAACAGTGGTGGCCTTGGCATAGTTCGGTGACCTTGGGTCTCATGTCCCCCCGGGACCGAAGTGCTCCCCTTCTTCCTTTCTGCTGTGGCTGGGAGGGGACCTGGTGTGGGAGTCCCACTCAGCCCCACTACACACCCCCCCCCGGGAAATCCCAAGCTGCAAAAATCACAGGGAACGACCAGGCCAGTGGATCTTTTATTTAACAGAGTGACAACCACCTCCCCACACTGTTACATAGGTGCACAGGGATGGCTCTACAGAAAGGTCCTCAGGAGGTGCATGGCTTGGGGGATAACCCTCTTCAATGGGAACCCTGGTCCAGAGGCTACAGCCATCTCATGGGGAATGTCATGGGTTATTCCACAGAAGCAGCAGGTCCGATGGCTCAGGGAGGGAAGGTGTCCACATGCTGTTGCTCTGACGCTTAAGGCACATCACTGTTTAGATGAGTTTCGCTCTTGGGCTCTGACAAACCTTGCCTCTGTCTCCACTCTGGAGTGCAGTTATGATTTAGTCCTGACAGCAATTGAGGTGCTAATGATTCCAGTTTTCTCCACAAAATAAGTCTATTTCAGGCTTATTTAATTCCAACACAGACATATCACTGGCTTTCCCTGAAGATCCAGAGGTGTGCCAGCTTCCACCAGGCATGCTGTTAGGTTAGATGGGGGATGCAGTGAGGGGGGCAGGGCAAGAAGGCTCTGGGGGTCAAGCATTGACCTGCCTAGGGCAGGAAGAAGGCACTGTTTGTGGGAACCCTTACCAAGCAGGGTCCTGCTGGTACAACATTTCAGTCCTAAGGCTGTGAATGGTCCAGGAACAGCAGCTAACAAGGATGTAATTTCTATGCTAGGGGTCAAAGCTGGGTTTATGCAGCCAAACAAGCATCTAGGTGAAGTAGGTAGTCAGGGGTCTACTCCTCCTTAGCCCAGGCAGAGCCACCTGCCTTCTGCTCCAGGTGGGGAACCACTGCCTCTGAGTAAAACTTCTCCAGCTTGGGCTCCGTCTTCCTCCAGAACTCAGCATCAAACTGGACTGGGACTACAGCTGTCTCCTTTTTGGTGTGCACCACAAAGTCAGCCCGCTCGAAGCCGGCTGTCGCCAGCTGGCATTGGACCTGGGTGAAGTAGCCATGATTCTTCTTCAGGGCATAGGAGTCCCCATCCACCTCCAGGCAGAAGTCCTTGTCCTTGCAGGCCTCGCGCACCGTCCTGTTCCTGTGCTTGTAGGGACACTTAACCTCCAGTAGCCCCAGGTCCTTCCCCGTAGTCTCCTCTTTGATGACTCCATCTGGGCTGGCAGCAAGCCACTTCTTGTCTGGGTGAATGAAGAGGCCACAGTCCTCCACCTTCACTGGCTTGCCCACTGCCCTCGCCTTCTGCTCGTAGGCCTGCACGGCCGCCTTCTCATTGCGAATTCCCCAGGACATGGCCGGGGTCTGCACCCCAGGGCCGGGGTTCACCACAGCTTTCAGGTAGGACTGGGGCACCTCATCTGTCTTGCCATTGGCAAACCTGCTGTTGGCAATTTTGGAGGCCACAGAGGCTGTGATGCGGTTCTCCCGCATCTCATACCACTTGGGGTTGCTCCACTGGCCCCGTGTTTCCTTCTCCACCCGTGGGATGTCCTGGCTCTTCACAGGGGGCAGGAATCGGTCCAAGGCTTTGTTCGGGTCAGCACCAGGCTGCTTCTGCAGACACGGGTCAGGTCTGGCCAGACCAGCAGCTGCTTTGGCATCAGACAGCTTCCTCTGGGTTGTAGAGGAATTCCTAGGAGGTGCTCTGCTCTGGTCCCCAGCATCTCCTCGGGCTCCACAGGATGCTGTGGGTCTTGGCTGAGCAGAATCTGCCTTTCTTCCCCGGCCCTGACTGGGGGTAGTAGCCTTGGCAGCTGGAGCACATTGGGATCGGCTGCCTGCAATCGTGGCCTTGGCCCGAGTGGCCGAAGTAGAAGGTGGTGGTGCGGCAGGGGCAGTTTTGGAGGCAGTTGTGGCCGCCCGAGGGGATGATGTGCCAGCGGACTCCTTCCTGGGTCTTCCCATTGCTATGAGTCAGAGAGTCTTATGCTGTGGGCATGGAATAAAGTTTAATGCAAGTCCCCAAAACACTCATTTCCTTTTCCTTGCGCCTCCCTGCGCCTGCCCCAGGGTGCTGTGTCCCTGCCAGAGCTGCTGTACCCACCCCTTTCTCCAATGTGCCACGGTGGAATGGCGGCTGGCCCAGCTGGGCTGCTTGTCCTCAGCCCCCTCCCCCCATCCCAGCCCTTGCCACCCCAAGGACAGGGCGGGGGGACAGCGAGATCCCCCGGGGCCACCTCCGCGGGGATGCGGCAGCGGTGCCCGCGGGCACCACGGTTGCCCGGGGACCGGGCGGGATCCCCGCGGGCCCATCCGCTCGGCCAGCGGGGGTGCGGACACGGGTGGGGGGCCTGCCTGGCTCCGTCCCGGGGACCCCACGCGCGCTCCGGGACCGGGGCACGGAGCTCCCGGTGCCGCCTCACCCGATGCCGCCCCTCTCACGGCTCCGCCGCCGCTCCGGAAGCGCGTCCCGCCCGCACCACGTGCTGCGGGGGCGGTGGCGGCCCGAGGCGTGCGGGAGGGAGGTGCGGTGCTGGGCGCAGCCGGCGGCCGAGCCCCCGGTCCCCGCTAGAGGGAAGCAGCCGCACGGCCATGCCCGCCGCGGGATATGCCCGGACCTGCCCGCTCCGCTCCCGGCCCGACACCCCTCAGCCTTTCCCCGCATCATGCCCCCACCGCCCCCAGGCCCCCAGATAACATTTTACTCCGGGCTAGGGACAAGCCCCCGACAGCCTCCACTCGTGGCCAGGGATCCGAGCCTGCCCCCCGCCTACCCCATCTCCGCCCGTGGGGAGCGGTCCGAGCCTCTCGGGCTCCACTGCGAAGGGACGGGCTGACCTGACGGGATCCCGCCGAGCCCCGATGGCCCAAGCTGATCTGAACCGCCACGTCCCACCGCGAGCAGACCCTCGGGAGAAGGATGGCAGCGAGAAGCTGGAGCAGCAATACCCACCCTCGGGCACCCGCTGCCCGGCTGTGCTGCCGTGTGAGGAGGGTCCCCGCGCAGAGACCGCAGAGCTTTGCTCGCAGCCCGCGGAGGGTTCGGCCGCTGTGGAGGAAGAAGAGAGGCAGGGCGTCAGCGGCACGAGGAGTTTCGCTTTCCTCAAATCCGGGGAGTCGCTTTCCTCCAATCCGGGGAGTTTCCTTTTCGGCAGCGAGCGTGGCGCCACTCCCTGATCCCGGCGGGCTGGCTGCGGCGCGATCCCCCACGTGCCCCCCCCCAAGGCTGTGAGCCCCCCCTGTTTCCGGCCGCCGAAAGGAAACTCAGCAGACACCAATGCGTGTCCTGGATCTGTGTAAGAGCCAGCCCCACAGGGGCTTCCAGCCCCATCTGCCTGCGCCAGCATCCTGCGGAGACTTCAGTTAAGTTTGGGCAAGCAGAAGTGCTGGCAGTATTCCCAGCCCCTCTCCCCAAGGATCCCTGGTGTCTCTACCAGCGTCTCTATCTCTGCTGATGTGTTGTTTCATTTTTTCCCTCCGGCCCCTCTGTAACTCCCTGCAACTTGGCAGACTGATATTACACAGGTTAAGCCAAGATGCACCTGATTTTGACCAGAAACATCACTAGCATTCCCTTCCTCCTCTGTGCTACCCATCCTCAAGATCTTGTTTAGTTCTTGCTGATTAGGGAGCAGCCAAAGAGGGCACCCCTGTCACTCTCCCTGCAGGCCAATCCTCTCCCTTTGCAGCCCTCAGTGGGGTCTGAGAAGCTGCAGCTGTGTCGAGCACAATCACTGCCAGCCTGACACCAGCTGGTATCTCCTTGGGTTTTGGGTTATTTCCCAAATAACTAAACTCACACTAAAGTCACAGTGACCTGAGAGCATCTGTAAGAGCTTTGTGGTTCGAGCCCCTCCAGCCAGCCTCGTCTCTGCGTGATAATTCAGTTCAAGGTATGGGGCATTTGAGGATAAATACCCAGGCCCTGACTGGTCCCTTGGGCTGTGCTGTGGCTGCTGGTGAGGGCTGTGTGGGATCACTGGGCTGTGTGGGGTCACTGGGGTGTGAGGATGATGAATAGAGCCATTGGGCTAAGCTGGGCCTGTGTTTAAAGGGTTTAACACATGCCTTAGCTCAGCACTCTGCCAAAAGGCAACACCAGGCTCTCCAGATCTATTTGTGGCTGTGATGAACTACTGTAGTGAAGCTGTGACAGTGCAGAGCAGGGACACACACGCCTGATGCCTGACGCTGCTGGGAGCACTGTACAGAATGGGATGGAGCCTGTCTATGCCTGCCTGGGGCTGCTGTGGTCACCAGTGGGCTGGGGAGGTTCACCTGTGCCCCAGTGCTGTGCATGCTGTTGTTATTCACCTGCTGTCACACCAAGACCGACGTCTGACGCGGTGGGCTGGCCAAGCCGCATCACCCCGGCTGGTGGCACTGACCCAGCATTTGGACACTTCTCTTTGCCTCAGCTTGGCCTAGAAATGATCTCTCAGGGAAAAATCAAAGCTTGCAGGGTTTTTTGTGGGTCTGGAGCAGCTCAGCACTTGCCATGACGATGGGAGCAGGAGTGTCGTGCATGCTGCAGGCTGTGAAGATGTGCTGTGGTGCGTGCGGGGCCTCCAGCAGCTCCCAGAGCTGGCAGCTGTCACGGGGGGGGGATAATACATGGGTTAGCATCCTTCTCTTGTAAATGAGAGGGAAGGGGAGCAGCTGCACACTTCAGCTCGCTCTCTGTGCAGCACGGAGAGGGGAAGCAGCATGCCGTAGGGCATCTCGCATGGGAGAGAGAATGGCTCAGAGTGCTCTTGCAAGGACCCTAGGGAACCACAGAGTGCCTCTTGGCCAGATAATTGTTGATTGAATCTCAGGGTAAGGGGTCAAGAAGGGGGAGTGTGTCTCATGTGCAGCAAAGGATGTCTTCCGCCAAGATTTCCCTCCGTTGTTCCTGCCATCACCTGTGAAACCTGTGTCAAGAAGCTGAAGCTGTAGTGACATATGGGTCAACTTAGAGGTGAGATACAAAAATACCTGCCGAGGACCAGGGGCTGCTCCCCTCGTGGTGCTGCTGGAGCTTTCTGCCCCAGTTTGTGCCTGGACTGGCTCCAGGTTTGGCATGGCTGCAGTGGTGGGTTCTGCAGTGCTTGGGGGTGGGGTGGGGGACTCCTCTCTGTGTGCTCTATAAAAAGAGCTGCAGCAGCACAGTCCTATCTATAGCACAGGGAGCTGCCTGGGAGAGGCAGGGCAGGAATTAGTCCCAAATCAGGTGGATTTCTCTGGTCCCACTTGGGAACACAGATCTGTCAGTGGTGGCGGAGGGATTCCCAGTGCATCCCAGGCTGTGAGATCTCCCTGCCAGCATACATGTCCTGACTTCACTGGGACTTCCTGACTGTCTGCACCCTCCCCAGGGGAGTTTGTTGTCATACTTGTCACCCAAAAGCTGGGCTGTCCCTGAATTCCCCCTCTCTCCTGCTCCTCAGAGCTGGGATTTCACTGCAGTACATGGAGTCTAATGGGGACAGCCTAGTGGGACCCCAGGGCATCTGGGTTTGGGGTGGATGTGCAGCATCTGCCTGCACCTGGCTGTTTTGTGGTGGTCCCAGGGCAGCTGACACCTTTCCTAGTGGAGCTGATTGTGACATTTGTGGCCCATGGTATTTGTACTGGAGACTTCAGCTGGCCGATGGGGGCTGTTTTGCCCTGTGCTCTGTTTGTGGGGGGGATGGACACGCAGGGTGTGGTTACATGTCCCACTCAGCCAAACTCTGTGGTTTTGATGCTGTAGCATCACCTGGGGTCTCACCAGTATACAAGTTTGCCTGGAAATTGATATTCTGTTGGTGCAGAGCAGCCCACAGCCATCGACTCTGCTCTTGACTGGTTCCTGTCACTCTTTGGGGGTGTTGGCCATCCCCTGAGACCCCCAGTGTTCCCCGTGAGAGCATCCCCCCACCTCCCCCCGGGCGGCGGTACCAGGGAGTGTGTCTCTTTAATGAGGCTGGGCTTGGAGCAGCTCAGCTGCTGGCACAGGGAGTGAGGGATGGAGCGAGGGCGGTGAAGGAGCCAGTGCCAGAGAGGGAGTCTGCAGCAGGGAGAGGCGGGGAAGGACTGCTCATCCCTCGGGTACTGCAGCCATCCAGCCAGAGGGGCAGGGAAACCCATTCCCAGGGAAGAGGGCTCTGCACAGGGCAGGGACCCAGTGGGTTCTGAGCCGAGCCTGCAGCTCCTGTGTCATCCTCCTCCTTCTCCTCCTCCTTCTCCTCCTCCTCCTCCTCCAGGTAAGGGCCAGGATGGGGGGGGGAATCTGGGACTACGGTGGCCTGGGACCCTGCACATCTCCTGCAATTCCTTGGTGTCCCATGGTCGCACACCCACTGCCAGTGCAGCCCGGCTGGCACAAGGGGTGAGAGGTGGAAGATGAGGCAGCAGGGCCACAAAAGTGCTGAAATCACCATCTGGCAGGGACTGGGCAGGGCTGGTCCCAGTAACTGCTGGGAACATGCTCCAAGGTATCTGCAACCAGCCCCTGGCCCACGCCACAACTGTCTCGTGGTGAAGGAGCACTGGGACCCTTCTGTGGGGCTGCCCCGCTGGGATGTGTCCATGTCAGGGGAAATCCATGGGACTCTGAAATTTTTTTGAGAGGGGGGTGCCTGTGTTAGGATGCGTTGAGGACAAGTAACTGTTGTTCCCTGGCATGGGGCTGGGGTTTTCCAGGGGTTTTAGTGGCTCTGGGGAGGCAAGAGCAGCAGCACAGGTCCTGGAGGTGGTGGTCCTGGATGTGGTGTCAGAACCAGGGTGTGTGTGCATGCTTGCATGCACGTGTGCAGTGGACTCTACTCTCTATTTCCACTTTCCAGCAGACAAAGCAGACAGTACCACAGGCTGGAGACAGCCCTTTGCCTCATCTGGGAACCTCTTTCCTCTTCAATCCTTTTTGGTCTCCACAAAGTGGCATGTCCCATGGGCACAGGCCAGCAGCAGCACCACCACCACTGTCTATACCATGCCTCCTGCCTCCATAATCTTCTTCGTGCTCCAGGAGCTGGGATGGATCCTGCTCTCATGTCTTTGTGCCCCATGGGATGTCCCACAGAGAGGGGAGGTGAGGGAAGCAGGGAGTAATGTGAGCGAGCAGGAGGGGCAGCAATACCTCCTCACTCCAAGCATTGTTGCAGAGGCTTGGTCTCCTCTCCCTCCATCCTTCCTCTTGTACCTGCCTGCGTATCTGTCACCAGTGGAAATTTCCGCTTGGTTTGCCTATGCTGGCACTGGCCCCTTCCTTCTCTGGGACCAGCCTGAACCCTGGTGCAGGTAGCTGTTGCTGCAGCAGGTGAAACTCTGACAACTCGTCAGACAGCTAAGGAGAGTCAGCTGGACTCAGGCGCCTGCCTCCCTGCAGCAGCCTCTCTGGAAAACTCAGCCTGCCCATGGGTGAGAAGAGAAAGCCTGAATTATTCTGACATAAGGAAGAGTTACCTCCTTTCCTTCAAAGATGACTTTTAGCTGCCGGCACAGAGAGCTGCTCACTGCCTCCTGTGGCCCCTCCGTACTGGGGATGCTGCTGGTTAAACCAGCTAGTGTGGGCAGTAGGTGAGAAGGAAAGAAGAAGAGGGGGCTGTTAGGGGACTGGAAATCATGCTGGGGATGGGGAGAGGTCTGGGGACTTGTTGGTGATGTCACGCTGGCACCTGAGGACAATTTGCTGCCCTGGGGAAAGAGGACGAAGAGAGTGGGGTGAGGACCATAGGGTCTGGTTTTATTCATTACCACGGGGCTTAGAGCAGCCAGCATGAAGCGTGGCAGGGCCAGATGGGCCCTGTTTACTCTGTGAGGGTAAATGTAAAGAGAAGTGATAAAAAGCAGCCAGGACACCTTCTCCAGTAAGTCCCTGGTAAACAAGCTGGCAGTGACCTGGCTAATGGGCGGCACGGCAAATAGTGGGCAGGTTGCTGAGCATCTAACGGGGTGCCTTGGGAACAAATGGAAGGGCTTTGGGGTGAAATATGTCTTTAATAGCTCAGTGTGGCTGGGTCAGGGGAGTCCTGGTCTCCAGAGCCTGTCTGGGTGCTGCGGTCAGGGCAGGAAGAAGCTGATGATGTTCCCAGCTGTGGCACAGTCAGTGTGGGGGAACAGTGGGCTGTGCAGGGACCCTGCGCAACCTTTGTGTTCTGGAAGAGTAGTCTGGGGGGCTCAGCAGTGTGTGCAGCATCCTGCACACAGGGTGGGGGATTGGTGATGCTGGGGAGTG